TTACCCCCTCGTGTGCACTCGTTCCCTTTACCCCCTCGTGTGCACTCGTTCCCTTTACCCCCTCGTGTGCACTCGTTCCCTTTACCCCCTCGTGTGCACTCGTTCCCTTTACCCCCTTGTGTGCACTCATTCCCTTTCCCCCCTCATGTGCAGGCACCCAGCAGAACTATACCGCGTCTGTGAAGTCTCAACAGGCTGTGATTCAGTTGTGAGAAAGTCTTCTCTGACAGTATGCTTTTTAATATGGACAATGAATGTGTGCATATAACCACCCTATCTGGTCTGACCTCTTCAACCCACTGTAATCCTATTATTACTGCCAGCATTTCTGCTGTGTACACTGATAATTGATCAGACGCTCTTTTTGACATAGATATTTTAAAGTCTGGGATGTATATACCAACTCCAACACACTCTCCCTTGTTCTTAGAACCATCTGTGTACATTTGTAGGTAATTGTAGTACTTTTCGTTCAGATACATACTTGTTTTAATTCCCACTTCATTTATTTGCCACTCTCTTTTCCTTTCTACGATACTCACATCTATTTTAGCTTCTGGGGAAAGCCATGGGGGAACACTACTAAATGGGCTTGCTTTGGCAAACGTGATGGTCTCCACTCCACATGCCCTCGTTCTCTCCTTACTCGTCCAGCCAAACCCACGCCCCTGGAACTTTGTATATTCCAGCAATCCTGCAGTTTTCTGTTTGTGATATGTTCCTCTCCACTTCCTTGTAGCCTGACCCAGTATGACAGAGCAACTTTCTCTCTTCTGATCTCCAGCGGTGTCTCTCCTGCTTCTATCAGAACTGCATTGATAGGGGATGACTTTATCGCTCCAATACACACCGCAATGCTTTATATTGTAATCTATCCATTTTTAAAAGCGATGTTTTTGCTGCTGCTCCATACGCTATACAACCAGTCTATTGTGGACCTCATCATTGATCTGTAAATGTCTATTAATGCTTGTTTGTCACAGAGGAACCGGAAGCTGCTGACTCTCTCCGCCGTAGACCCATGCTGCTTCCTGTAATCCACAATCAGCTCCTTGGTTTTGCTGACGTTGAGATGGAGGTTGTTATCCTGGCACCAAGATGTCAGGTTTTTGTCTCATCGCCGTCAGTGATCTGGCCGATGACGGTTGTGTCGTCAGCAAACTTCACGATGGTGTTGGAAGTTCAGGATCCAATCCCAGAGGGCGCTGCAGAGCCGGAGGTCCCTGAGCTTGATGACGAGCTTGGAGGACACAATGGTGTTGAAAGCTGAACTGAAGTCAATGAACAGCATTCTCTGGGGGGTCACATTATGGCGCGATGTGAAGACACCGTTTTGGCTGGAGCTCCGTGCTACTCGGATAAAATTATTTGATTATCCTGTTAATAACCGTGAATTGGAAGCCACTTTTGGTATGAACATTTAAGGCTATGTCCTTAGAAAACTTTTGGCCACAGTGTTTTGACAAAATGGGAAGAACTCAAAGGAATAGACAAGAAAGACACCGCTGAATCTGAGCCCGGTGAGCAAGATGGCGATCAGGCCGAGTCTGATATCTCTGATGAACTCAACCCAGCCCTTGCCAAAGCCCTAAACTTGATGCTGCTAATATTATGAAAGTAATATGATAAACTCAGCCCTCTGGTCGAGTTTATTAATAAGCATTCTGCGGAGCTTCAGTCTGCTAACAGGTGTTGGAGTCATAGTGGTTTTAAAACCCACCTCGGCTCCGCGTGTTTGTTTTGTGAATGGGTCAGATTAACAGAGGAAGAATTCACAGCAACCATTGGTAAGGTTATAACAAATATGCTGATTTAATGGCAAAAGACACAATAACACAACATCACGGAGTAATCCGGATTACCCCGGCCCTGGTTCCTCCCGCTGGGAAATCTTACTTACTTCGTCTTGGCAACAGGAGAAAAGAGACCGGACACCAGGATTCAACTGGAGATATTGTAAAAACAAGGGAGGAGCTGTATGGATGCTACCCCCATACAGGTCATCTATTGGCCCATATATAAACGATGGGCTTTCGTAGCATATCAGCGCGCGCCAGCCGAGATGACCCGGAAACAGTCTTAGTTTGAAGCAAAAACATCTGGTATTTCTGCAGCTTTCACACACACACATTCTTCAGACTTGAGCTGTGTCCAAAGAATATTCCCTTGCTTACAAAGATAATCATTGCATTTCTCATATTTCCAGCTTTTGTTTACACAGACTGCTACTATTAAATAAGTAATTAAGTACACACATGAATATATAAAAACACACTTCTTATATATCAGGAGACATTAAGATGAATATACCAAAAATACGATGTATCAAACTTTCACTTCAAACTTTCAAGTTACTTCAATTTTCCCTCACAGGCGGCTAGATGAAGCAGAGACCAGGATCATGGCCGTGGAAAACTCCGCCACAGCGCAAGGGGCTGGGGCTCGGGGCATGGGCTGGTTGCCAGGAGTGAGTTGAATGCTCAGCAGACCTCCAAAGGCCAGGCGAGTTCCCATGAATGAGTCCTGGACAGGAGCAGGAAAGGGGACAGCATGCATGGAGCTAGCAGGCCGGGAATCAGGCTTGACCTCAGAACTACCCAAAAAGTCTTCCACCCACTCTCGTAATAAGTCCTTTAACCAGGGTCTGGAAGTGACTTCTTGGTGTGCGGTTGACATAATTGACTGCCTCTCCTCTCCACCCAGGCATATCGACAGACATTCTTTAGGCACAATACATGATAAGTTACCTCGTAAAGGTCGCCTGCTGGGTCCATCTTTGGTCAGATCCTTCTGTCACGGCTGGAGGGAAAGGTACCCAAATGCAGAAGACCATTTGTTGAAATCCAAATCCTTTATTTGCAGGACTGGGCCAGGCAAACAAGGCAAGGCAAGGCAAAGCAAAGCAAAACATAAACTCTCTTAAAGCTAAATCCGTCCAACAACATCAAGGATCTGACAGCAACTAAAAGACAAGCAGAACTTAAATAGCAGCAAGACTAATCACAAAGACAAGACACAGGTGGGGAGGGAGGAAAAACACAGGGGCACCAGGTGAACACAGTCAGGTAATCAAACAGGAGGGAAACACAGAGACAGGAAGTAAAAACAGACATAACTAGGGGGGTAAACACTTTTCAAAATAAAACGGGAAAACAAAGACAGATCTTGAGATGACAAAATAAAACACAGACAGATCGTGACAAATACAGATATGTGAAATCTGTTGACATATTACATTTAATTAAAGTCAACATTTCAGTTTCTCAGTGCATCTTTCCTGTTGCTCACATCCACTGTTCACTTATTCATCTATATTCTTTGCTGTCATATTGTCCCTCCAATTAAAAAACAGTGTGAAGGAAATGTTGTGTTATACTAAAGCAGCTGCTGAAGACCTTGAAGTGTTACACTGAAGATTATAGGCACATTATAAGGAAGAGCTATCTGAGGAGGATTTCTTTTTAGCTTGTTAGGTGTTTTGAATTTCTTTCAAGGGAAATCTTGAGGAATGAAGATATTTATTAATAAGTATGCAATTATTTTATAATAAGATATGCACCAGAACACGTTTAAGATTAATCCAAGTACCAATGTTATATATTTGTACTCCACTTAATTCCAGATGATTTTATGTTTTAGATTGATAATGCAAAATCATAATCATCATCTTTATAATGATTGTTTTTTAAATGTGTTTTATGTCTTGTAATTGCATTGTTGAGGAACCTGTGACCCAAGCGTTTAATTCATTAGCCTAGCCCTAGATACTACACCGTAGTTTTGTTATGATATGACAATAGACCTTGAATTGAATTGTCCCCCTGCTCCCCTCTGGGGGACGCCACATGAAATCTGTGTGAGAAACTGGAATCTGATTCTCTGTCAACAACACTGTCACAGCAAAAATCTCTTTACTTTTGCTATTGTGTTTGAATTAAATTAGCCCATTTGTATTCCTGTGCGATGGTAGTAGCTTGAACATATGACTGTATGGAGACATTTAGAAAGACTTGCTGGTTAAAATGAGCTGTAGCATGGGAACAGCCTCATTAACTGACAACCACAGACTTTCCGACTGAGGATCCTGTATTCCTACAGGGGTTTATTTTTGCCATTGTATTGGAATTATACTATATGAGTACTATGTAAGCACATATTTTGTAATTGTACACAGCAATTTCACTGCAAGTTCTTATTTTGTTAAAGTGTAATGTATGTCTTTATTTTATTTAATATCATATATATTTGAATGAAATTGAAAGCAGCAGGTGGAGAAAACCTTTCACAGTGTTCATTCGGATTCTGGGTGATGTTTAGTTTGGATGGCAAATGGTCCAAAAACTAAACATTTAATTGTTCAGATGTATCCATGATAATGCGGGTTTACTCCAGAGGTACACAGGTATTTTAAAAACGTCTGAATTCTGAACTTAATTGCTGTGCTGGCAGAGGAGGGCTTATACAGTATAGATATACAACGCAGCTAAATATGACCAGAGATAAAGTGATCAGATTGGAAAAGTCATCCAATCCATAAAGATACAAGCCCAAGGTTAGGCTAGTAGCAGACATTTACGCAGAGAATAAATAGATGTATTCATTTAATGTTGCGCTATACAGTGTTCATTTTAGAAAAACCTATATTCAATGCACATACATGTAGAAAGAAAAAATGATTTAAGGCAAGAAATATACATTTGAAAACAGAGTTATAGTATGGACATAGTCATCAAAAACCTTTTTGAGTGCTTCACTATGAGTCAAACTCAAAGTATTATAAATGGTCTGTAAACAATTAAAAAAACAAATAAAATTGACATTTACAAACAGTACTGGGCGATCCCTATAATATGTCATTTATATGTGAGATTGTGCTCCTGAAACCCGACTTCACTGAAGAAGGCATCAGGAAACTCAGAGTGAGACCTCTTCACATGCAGAAACGATCAGGAAACTCAGTCAGAGTGAGATCTCTTCACCGTCTGTTCTTTTAGGTGCCAAGCGCATGCGCCGATAGGAAACCGGAAGTAAACAAGCAGCCTTCCCCCGCGTGCAGCTGCAGACGACGGTGAGTTATTATGTTATTACTTTGACAGAGAATTACTTAAAAAGTACACATTAAAAGTACTTAATTGTATTTATAGCAGTAGACTAACTACTTGCCCCCTGTTTTATGTTTTATGTGTTATGTCTTGTCCTCATATGTTACTTTGTAAAGCGACCTTGAGGTTATGAAAGGCGCTATATAAATTCAAATTATTATTATTATTATTATTATTAGTGATGGCGAGATGAAGCTTTGAAGCTTTCCAGCCAATTGGTTCGCAAAAGGGTTCATCTCATGAGGCTTCATTTGAACACAAGTTGGTCAACGTGTGTTAAACAGGCAGATATATCTCAACACAGTGTGATCTTTCTTATACTGAGTTCCCAATGAGTAAAGCCTTAGAATAACTCTAAACAATGAACATACAATCATATTCTCATGTAATCAATATTGTACATGCTATTAAACACCTGAACATCCATAAACATTCATCTGTTTGCATTTTTGCTAATTATTTATCTAACTGTATCATATTCCATTGACTTGTAGACTCTTCTTGCACTATTTCTATTTTATTTGTATTTACTTGCACATCTCAAAACATTCTCTTGCACTATTTTATCTGTTTTATGTGTGTATGTCCTATATATATTCATGTTGCACTGTTGGAGGAGCCTGTGACTTAAGTTTGTCATTGCCTTGTCTACACTGTAGCTAATGTGCACATGACAATAAAGCCTTGAATCTTAGAACTTGATTTATTCCAGTTGAATGATTGTGATTGAAAAGAAGGCTGGTAAACATTACAAAGAGGGATTTTTATTCCTTAATACTATTTGTAAACTTAACCATGTTATAGCCTCAGAAAGGCTAAACAACATCAAGTAATACATGTATTAATTGCATTATTACATTTAGCTGTAGCTTTTATAAACAAACAAAAAAGACAATATTAATGTATTTGTTTCCGTATTTATTTATGCATTTATTTATGAATGTATTCATTTATACATTCATTTATGTTTTTCCATATTTATTAATGCATTTATTTATTCATGTATTTATTTCCACATGTATTTATCTCTACATTTATTTATTAATCTATTTATTTATTCCTGTATTCATTCTTTTGATTGCCTTATTTATTAATGTATCCATGTTTTATTCATAAATGTATTTATGCATTTATTTATACTTATATCATGTTCTGTCTCCCATATAAGTGAGGGTCTGAGCTCTCTGAATCCCATCGTGGTAATATGAGTGTTGTAAAACTGTGAAGTGTCAGTGGTTCAAGCGCTCTGACGCTCTATCTGAAGCAGTCACGTGGCATCGAGGGGCAGCGAGGCTTCGTTTGTCACCGATTACGTCACTGGCCTAAAACGACACACGCCTCGATACACGCTTCACCAAAAGCGTCCTGGATTTCTCGAACCACGCTCCTAAGCCTCAGCGCAATACGTAACATCACTGCTTGTGAGGGCAAGATGAAGCTTCATGAAGCTTTGAAGCTTTCCATCCAATTGGTTCATCTCATACTATTTCTTATGCCATTATCAATACATTCCTTCATTTCTGTTTCTCACTCGTCGTCTACCTTCTGTCTGTAGATTGCTCCAACAGGGATGTTTATTTGTAAAGCACTTTAACACCTCCAGACCAAAGTGCTGTAGAGAGGAATAAATACATGAGAAACAAAATCACACAGCTCAGCTCACAAACCATAACATAAATACAAAGAAAAACATAAAATAAAGAATAAAATAATAACAGCCCTATAGTAAAAATAATATCATCTTTAAAAGCTATAAAAAAGTGACCTATTGATTGATGGTTTCACCGATCTGGAATGATCTGAACCAATATCTAAAGCAGTCACATGGATAAGACCGTCAGCTAGGCTTCGGACGTCATCCATGACGTCACTGGGGACTGTACAGTCAACATGTCCATGTGTCCTTGGGAAGGATACCTAAACCTGAGTTGCTCCTGACGGTGTGTGAGTGTTAGGCTGCAGCCACACGAGGACAAAAACGTCCGTTTGCGTTACTGTTTAGTGTCATATAGACCATTCGGCCACACGAGGACGACCGCATACGGCACTAAACGACTGAGGAAACGATAACGGGTCCCAAGGTGGATAGAACGGCATACGCAACGCTCTGGGGGGTCAAACTGCTCCGTGTGTGCGCCCTATACGATCATTTTCTGATAATGATTGCGCAATAGCCCCGCCTCTCCCCAACTCTGCTGCTCACCTCCGCGTACCCCGCGCCATTGCTGATGTGTTTCGCCACCACCAACAACAACAACAATGGCGGATCGCAGAGTTGCTATCGTGCTCCGGACGCTACTGACCATGCTACAGTTCTTTGTGCAACATCTACAGCAGACTTACACATCCGGGGGGGGATCTTACTCGCTGCTTTTGTGGATATGTACTGCAGCTTCAGCGATTCTTTCACACACACATACGGGTTTTGGGCCGAGGGCGACACCGTACTTCCGGTATCAACCATTTCACGCGAGGTGCATACAGAATATCATAGTCGATTGCCTTAATCAATATAGTCAACTCTAAAATACCACATATATGCATTGGCATGATAATATTATTGTGACAAGTGGGGTATTCACCTGGTGTTTCCAGAAGATAGACGTAGATGCAGCCAAAATCGACCGAAGGCCACTTTTGAGGGTCGTAATTCCATACATTGTACATCCAACAACCCACACAGCTCTAGTTTACGCTGGTAACGACCTTGAGCACACCCCTCAAGTCCAGAGATGTAATCCGAAGACATGCAGCGATTTCTTCGGTCGTTAATTCAGAAAAAAAACCTAGTGCGCTCTGCCTGGCCACATAAGCTAGCTGTTTATATTAGCATTCCCAGGATTTTTGCACCTCCAGAAAAATGGCGTCTTTATAAAAAAATATATGGCGCGCGTTGCATTGTGGGTAGCTGTGACGTCACTGTGTTTGAAAGAATCATTTTCTGATAATGATTGCGCAATAGCCCCGCCTCTCCCCACCTCTGCTGCTCACCCCGCGTCAAAGTAAACTGCACACTGAATTCAGATTATTTATCTTTCTCTCGATATGGACATAAACGCGAGTGAAGTCTAATCTGACAGGACGGAGACACCTCTCAAACTACCTAAACTAGTTATAAATATGTTTATTTTTACTGTCGGCCGGGTCACTCATTACTGGATCAGCTGCTGCATGAGACAGACACTGACGCTGTCCGAAGAGAGGGAGGAAAAAGAGAGGCTCCGTGTATTTTATTATTATATTATATAGAGTCGTTATTCATTTGTTTTAAAGCTCAATAAATAACAAAGAAGACCTTTGACCGGCACTTTTATAATTTTGTCGGAAGGTTTCAACTTTAATACACGTTGACTGGCGAAAAACTCTGCCCGGTTCCCTCGGCCCCCACCGCGGAGAATAAACAGAAGGGCAACCATGACAACCATGCTTCTTCGCTGCTTTTGTGGAGGAAGTTACAGCGCCACGTACAGGCTAGGCATATGTACTGCAGCTTCTCCAGCGGTTGGAGCTAAACGGAGCGGTCTCGTGTGGGCAGACACTATCCGGATAACTATTGCGTGTGGACGGAAGCTTGTTTGCGATTGCGTTTGCGTTAATCCTATGCGTTTAGCCGTTTTCGTCCTCGTGTGGCCGGGGTCTTAGGCTCCTAGAGCAAGTGGCCGATTGCTTTGTATAAATGAGGTGTGAATGGGACTATGTAAAGCGCTTTGAGGAGTCGTACAACCTGAACAAAGGCCCGCATAAGTCCATTTACCATTCACAGGACTAAAACGACACACGCCTCGATATGCGCTTCACAAATGTTAAACATTTTTGTAAGGAATTTTAAAATGCTAAGTGTCTTTTAATACCATGAGAAGCGCTCTATAAATAAAATGTTTTATTATTATTAGAAGATGAAACAGAATAAAGGAGAGAAGAACATCTCCACGCAAGCTAACAACACCATGAAGAAGAAGAGGAGGGAGGAAGAGGAGGTCAATCCTGCTGCTTTACAACACCAGGAGGAGGAGAAGAAGAAGAAGAGGAGGAGGGAGGAAGAGGAGGTCAATCCTGCTGCTGCACAACACCAGGAGGAGAAGAAGAAGAGGAGGAAGAAGAGGAGGAGGAGGAGGAGGGAGGAAGAGGAGGTCAATCGTGCTGCTGCACAACACCAGGAGGAGGAGAAGAAGAAGAGGAGGAGGGAGGAAGAGGAGGTCAATCCTGCTGCTGCACAACACCAGGAGGAGAAGAAGAAGAGGAGGAGGGAGGAAGAGGAGGTCAATCCTGCTGCTGCACAACACCAGGAGGAGAAGAAGAAGAGGAGGAAGAAGAGGAGGAGGGAGGAAGTGGAGGTCAATCCTGCTGCTGCACAACACCAGGAGGAGAAGAAGAAGAGGAGGAGGGAGGAAGAGGAGGTCAATCCTGCTGCTGCACAAACACCAGGAGAAGAAGAAGCAGACGAAAAGCAGCACTGCAGCTGCAGCAGCAGAAGAAGGAGAGCAGTGAGTTATTATTAATATGATGTTATTAACAGTGTACTGCCTGTTGTAAACAGCAAGGTGTGTGTGTGTGTGTGTGTGTGTGTGAAGGTGTGTGTGCAGATGTTAACATGTGAAGTGTGTAGATTTACTTTTGAATTTTAACATGTAAAGGGTATTTGAGTTCCATGAAAAGCATTGTATTATTACTTTAATATTATTATTAGCACCATGCAAACCAAGAAGAAGAAGAAGAAGAGGAGGGAGGAGGAGGAGGTCAGTGCCCTTGCTGCTGCACACCACCAGGAGGAGAAGAAGAGGACAAAGAAAGATCTTCTGGTAGTAAAGGAGGAGAAGAAGAAGAAACAGATGAAGAAGACAAGCAGCACAGCAATAGCAGCACAAAAAGAGCAGTGAGTTATTATCATAATTATTATGTTATTAACAGTGTACCTCCTGTTATACTTCCTGTTGTACCTCATTGTAATCTGTTGTACCTCATGTTGTACCTCCTGTTATACTTCCTGTTGTACCTCATTGTAATCTGTTGTACCTCATGTTGTACCTCATGTTGTACTTCCTGTTGTACCTCCTGTTGTACCTCATGTTGTACCTCCTGTTGTACCTCATGTTGTACCTCATGTTGTACCTCCTGTTGTACTTCCTGTTGTACCTCCTGTTGTACTTCCTGTTGTACCTCATGTTGTACCTCATGTTGTACCTCCTGTTGTACCCCATGTTGTACCTCATGTTGTACCTCATGTTGTACCTCATGTTGTACCTCCTGTTGTACTTCCTGTTGTACCTCCTGTTGTACTTCCTGTTGTACCTCATGTTGTACCTCATGTTGTACCTCCTGTTGTACCTCATGTTGTACCTCCTGTTGTACCTCATGTTGTACCTCATGTTGTACCTCCTGTTGTACTTCCTGTTGTACCTCCTGTTGTACTTCCTGTTGTACCTCATGTTGTACCTCCTGTTGTACCTCCTGTTGTACCCCATGTTGTACCTCCTGTTGTACCTCATGTTGTACCTCCTGTTGTACTTCCTGTTGTACCCCATGTTGTACCTCATGTTGTACCTCCTGTTGTACTTCCTGTTGTACCTCCTGTTGTACCTCATGTTGTACCTCCTGTTGTACTTCCTGTTGTACCCCATGTTGTACCTCATGTTGTACCTCCTGTTGTACTTCCTGTTGTACCTCCTGTTGTACCTCATGTTGTACCTCCTGTTGTACTTCCTGTTGAACTTCTTCTTGTCATTTCTGTTTTCAGGCTGGACTTGGAACTGGTGGAGGAGTTGCAGCAGTTTGTTCCAGACATCAAGAATAAATGTGACGATGTGATCAGAAAACTGCTGAGATACGACCTGCACCGCTTCAAAGCCTTCAAACAGAAAGGTGTGTGTGTGTGTGTGTGTGTGTGTGTGTGTGTGTGTGTGTGTGTGTGTGTGTGTGTGTGTGTGTGTGTGTGTGTGTGTGTGTGTGTGTGTGTGTGTGTGTGTGGTGTGTGTGTGTGTGTGTGTGTGTGTGTGTGTGTGTGTGTGTGTGTGTGTGGTGTGTGTGTGTGTGTGTGTGTGTGTGTGTGTGTGTGTGTGTGTGTGTGTGTGTGTGTGTGTGTGTGTGTGTGTGTGTGTGTGTGTGTGTGTGTGTGTGTGTGTGTGTGTGTGTGTGTGTGTGTGTGTGTGTGTGTGTGTGTGTGTGTGTGTGTGGTCAATATGTGGAGTTTGTGTGCAGGTGTGTGTCTCCGCTCCGGCCGCTGCTCTCATCAGGAAAACCAGCAAATAAGAAAGAACATGGCAGACTTCCTGTCTCTGACAAGTGTCAGCTCGGCCAATCTGCTGCTGTTCCCACGCAGATACAAGGAACAGGAAGTGGAGATCAGAAAACTGAGAGCACGACATCACTTCCTTGAGAGGATCGGTATGCACACGGACACTAAGCTGTATTTTATATGTACACACATTCACGGACACATATATATTTATTTATATATATATATTAGGGATGCACGATATTGGTTTTTTGAAACCGATACCGATACCGATAACTTCCTGCTTCTCAAGACCGATACCGATAACAAAAAATTTTTTACGCCACTAATTATTTTAACGCGATTTAACGCATGTGTATTTTTTTTCCTCGGCCGCCCCGTAGTTTCAGAGCGCATCGAGTTTAAAATACCATCTACAAGCTGATGCTGACAGCCTGTGGCAGACCACACTTCCACGCTCACCGGCAGGCACCGACTGGCCATCTGGAGGACCGGGAGGGTATGTGTATGTGTGGCCCGAGCGAGCGAGAGAGAGACCTTACGTGCATTGTTGTTGTTAGCATCTGGTGCTAGCTAGCTGCGATAACGGATATAAGGAGCTGTTTAAATGAAAACAGAGGAGCGACATTTCGCCACAACTGCGCCGAGCACTTGACTTTATGCAGGAAGCCAGACAGTGGGACATTGTACGAAAAGTCAGCACACTCAGCACGGATAGTGCGCAACATGATTGCAGCGTCCTGGCAGCTCCGATTCGAGCATATGCCTTGAGTTGCACATAGCTCCAACGCCCATATACCACCGACGACATGTTTGTTTACTGTCCTGGCTTCACGGCCGCACACCATTTACGTCACAGCCAGGCATGAGTTAGGGAGCGCTGGATTTGTGAAGAACTCCCCTCTTCCTAAACCACTAATACCACAGTACTGGCAAAACGGGAGGAGCCGAGTGAAAAACAAGCGCCCCTCATCCCAATCCACCCACACCGCAGTATTTTTTTCTTTTTTTTACCCAAAAAATATATTGTATATTATCGGGGCTATTAATACTGGTATCGGGTTTATCGGGATGACGTCATAATTCCTATTATCGGGCCGATAATTATCGTGCATCCCTAATATATATATACCATCATCAGCAATGTTTCCCCTAGGTTTACTGCTTTGGGGGGGTGCTGCCTGAGCAGGGGGTGGCATTGGGATATATTTTTTTTAAATCCTCTGGAGCAGAGAGAGGAGCTGTGGATTATTGTTATTGATTGATGCATCAGTTTCTTAGGGTCAAAAACACTAAACTCACAACTTAAATGAAAGCGTTTAGTTTATTTAATAAAAGAGCACATGTTCAATGTGAAAAGTGACAGTAGATATAGATTAGTTGCAATTTGGTGCTATATATATATTGAAAATATATGCATGCCCACTGCACCTCGCGGGAGCGCGCTCAGCGTAAAGCTAATACTCACAGACATTTCAATGATTTGTACGGCAAAGTTAGGTTTGGAAACTATATAATTTCCTTTTTGGAGGGCATGCATAACACGGCATAGCACCGGAGCCTTGCTGCGGGGAAACTTTGGCGCTATTCTGAGTTTGTTCTAATCTGTCAAAATTACGGATTGCTTTCAGAGTTTTCGGTATATATATATATTAAATCAAATCAAGTTTTATTTATATAGCACATTTATAAACGAGCCAAAGTGCTGTACATATAATAAAAATAGCCTACAGTAGAGACACTTTACAGCAAATACAACAGCACAGATTGTTCAGAATATCAGTATGAGAAAAACGACACCCTCTGTCCTTAGACCCTCACATCGTACAAGGAAAAACTTCCAGAGAAAACCCACAGTTTAAAGGGAACATGGGAGAAACCTCAGGGAGAGCAACAGAGGAGGGATCCCTCTCCCAGGACGGACAGACGTGCAATAGATGCCGTGTGTAAATCAAAGAGATAATAGATTTTACAGCATATAGACCGAATGTTAGGAAATGCATGTGTCTGTAATAATATATATATATATATATATATATATATATATATATATATATATATATTTGGTTAACGCGACCACTGGCGGGGACAGAAACATGGACAAAGGTACCGAGCTCTTACATGGACATTTGACATCTCTTCAGATGGTGGAGATGATAGAACCAGAGTTATTTGTAACCACTTCAAAGTTGAAAATCTTATCTCTGGACTCTGAGGGCAACTTCTATAACAAACTAGATAACACGTGGCAGAGGCAAATAGCTTTGATTTGATTACATTAATTTATGTTGAAGTTGAGATTTAAAAGAAATATTTTAACTGCTACTGTTTAAAAGCACCTTACTGTTTAAATTGTTTGCAAACCAACCATGTTTAATCATTACCCAGCAACTGCACTGACACACTGAATCCTGTGAGTAGAAAGACTGTATTTTTTCTGGGGGAAAAAGGCTTTGTTGAGGATTTTCAAACAGAGAAATATACATCTACTTTGGTTATTTTTGGACTTTCTTTTAATATATGAACTAACTCTACTCTCTGTCCGTCCAGCTGAGGAGATTCCTCGCTCTTGTCATCAGGTCTACATCAGAGCCAGGAAGATGTTTGATGACCGGAACTACAATGGGAGGTTAGTGATAAGAAACCAGAACACTGTCAGTTTTTGTGTTCACCTTGTGATAGTTTGACTTTTAGCTTTGATGTTTGATCATTATTTAGGGCAGGGGTCCCCAAACTTTTTCCTGTGAGGGCCACATAACTTTTCCCTTCTCTGATGGGGGCCGGGTCAGTTTGTAACAGAAAAAGTGTGACGATCGCATGGGTGTCTAAACGTAAACATTTATTGTTTTCTAGAAAGCCACACATAACCAAATATTAATAACCCTTTCCGGGATCTTCACAGAAAAAAAGTCAGGAAATAAATAATAACACTATTGTAACGTTCCCAAGATGAGTCGGAGACAGGCTTGTAGTTATTAGGCTTTAATAACTAGTATTTGAAGACAGATGATAACAGGTCAAGTACACTTCGTGGGTTCTACCGCACACTCCACTCATCTAACTTCTACACATACCCATATATATAGCACCGTCTACGTCACAACTCCCCGCCCTCCCCCGTCCGCTCCACCAACCACAGGCCCGCACCTCAGCCACCATCACGGTGCAGCTCTATGATTGGCAGAGAGACGGGGGATGCCTAAGTGACACCCTGAGTAGCCTATCAGGATCGCTACACTACCCCCCCACTACAAAGTTCCTCGCCCACGAGGAACAAATAAAACTCAGCACAAACACTACCCCCATCCTCTCCAGTATTCTGCAGGGACCAACCCACTGACTGTCCAGTTTTGGGCACCGGCCTTTCTTCCGTTGTGGGCTGTAGACCCAGACCAGCTCCCCGGCCCGGAAATGCTGCCCTCTTGTCCTGGTGTCATAGTTCCGCTTCTGTCCACCTCGTCCAGTCTCAGCTCCATCTCCTTCCGTTCGCCTCCGAGTCTGAACCTCACAGAGTCCAAGGTCTGCTCCACCTCTGCCTTCATCGAGGCCTCTCTGTGTTGGGCGTTCTGCTCCATGATACTCCTCTCCGCTATAGCTTGCCTGCTTCTGGGACTCATCCAGCTGAGGTTTACAGGTATCCAACTCTGCTTCTGTCCTTTTCAGGTCTTCTAGAGTTTTCAAAGTCTCCAGTTGGGATTGTCCTAGCTTATTCTGGAGCTTGTTGTAACCTTGCTGCAGCGCCTTAGCGTCTCTACCCATCTCGCTGATCCTCTCCTGGTACTTGATGCAGTCCCTCTGCAGCTGCTTCTCCCTCAGCAGTAGTGCTGGGGGGAAACGATTATTTTGAAAACGATTAATCGGGCGATTATTTGATCGATTAGTCGACTAATCTAACGATTATTTTTCTGTTGTTCAATTCATAAAAAACGTAATGTAAAAAAAACGTAATGTAAAAAAATATTTGTTCACGATACTGTGTCTCAGGGGATCTTAATATTTAAGAACCTATTAATGTGTTATACCAGATTAATGGAAATAATCTCAGCTAACTGACGATACAATCTGTTTACCAAAACAAAACACAAGTCTCATAAGAAGCATCTAAATGACCCCTGAGCGAAAAATGCTAACGGACATTGGCACATAACTCAAGATAAAAGTACCCTTATTACTTATCGTAGCTGCACATACAAGATATTACATTACATTACATTACATTACATTGCATTTAGCTGACGCTTTTGTCCAAAGCGACTTACAATAAGTACATTCGACCAGGAAGACACAACCTTGAAGAAAACAGAATCATATAAGTATATCAGGTTTCATAGAGCCAAACATTTCAAGTGCTACTCAACTGGCTTTAGGTAATCCAGTCCTTTATTGGTATAAAAGTGCTTCGTTAATCGTTCTAACGCTCGAAGTGGAGTCGAAAGAGATGAGTTTTCAGTTTGCGCCGGAAGATGTGCAAGCTATCTGCCGTCCTGATGTCAATGGGGAGCTCATTCCACCATCTTGGAGCCAGGATAGCAAACCCACGTGTTTTCGCCGATGGGAACTTGGGTCCCCCTCGCAGCGAGGGCGCAACGAGTCGTTTGGCTGATGCAGAGCGTAGTGCACGCGCTGGGGTGTACGGTTTAACCATGTCCTGGATGTAGGAAGGGCCAGATCCATTCGCAGCACGGTAAGCAAGTACCAGTGTCTTGAAGTGGATTCTAGCAGTTACCGGAAGCCAGTGAAGGGAGCGGAGGAGCGGAGTGGTGTGGGAGAATTTAGGAAGGTTGAAAACCAGACGAGCCGCTGCATTCTGGATGAGCTGCAGAGGTCGGATGGCACATGCAGGTAGACCAGCCAGGAGGGAGTTGCAGTAGTCTAGGCGTGAGATGACGAGAGCCTGGACCAGAACCTGAGTCGCTTTCTGAGTCAGCTGGGGACGTATCTTCCTGATGTTGTAAAGCGTGTATCTGCAGCAGCGGGTTGTAGCAGCGATGTTTGCAGTGAAGGACAGGTTGTTATCTAGGGTCACACCCAGATTCCTTGCAGTCTGAGTCGGGGAAACAACTGAGGTGCCGATGTTGATTGTCAGGTCAAGAGTTGGACAATCTTTTCCCGGGAGGAAGAGCAGCTCAGTCTTGTCAAGGTTGAGCTTGAGGTGGTGAGCAGACATCCACTGAGAGATGTCAGCTAGACAAGCAGAGATGCGTGCGACGACCTGGGTCTCTGAGCGGGGAAAGGACAGAATTAATTGGGTGTCGTCAGCGTAGCAGTGGTAAGAAAAACCATGCGGGCTAATGACTGATCCGAGCGAGTTTGTGTACAAGGAGAAGAGGAGGGGACCAAGAACAGAGCCCTGAGGGACCCCCGTAGTTAATTGACAAGGGTCGGACTCAGACCCTCTCCAAGTCACCCTGTAGGTACGGTCTTTCAGGTATGAGGTGAGGAGGGAAAGTGCAGAGCCAGAAACTCCAAGTTTTTGGAGAGTGCGAAGGAGGATCTGATGATTCACCGTGTCGAATGCAGCAGACAGGTCCAACAGGATGATGACAGAGGAGAGGGATGCAGTTTTGGCAGTGTGCAGTTCCTCCGTGACAGCAATGAGAGCAGTTTCTGTGGAGTGACCTGCCTTGAAACCAGACTGGTGCGGATCCAGAAGGTTGTTCTGATTGAGATAACAGGAGAGTTGTTTAAAGACAGCGCGTTCAAGTGATTTAGACAGGAACGGGAGGAGAGAGACAGGCCTGTAGTTTATAACATCAGACGGGTTGAGAGTGGGTTTCTTTAGGAGAGGGTTTACTCTTGCCTCCTTGAGACTGTTTGGAAAGTGACCAGAAGTTAGAGAAGTGTTGATGAAATGGGTGAGAAACGGTAGAATATCAGGAGCGATAGTCTGAAGGAGGTTTGAAGGGATAGGGTCCAGAGGACAGGTGGTAGGGGCGGGCAGAGGTAATGAGGGTAAGAACCTCACTTGGAGAGAGAGGGGAAAAGGAGGTTAGTGTGTTGGTGGAAGGAAGGTCTGGTGACCCAGCGGTGAGTAAAGGTGAGTCAGAAAAAGAAGAGCGAATATCATTAACCTTTTTTTCAAAGTGGGTAACAAAGTCGCTTGACAGAAGTGAGGAGGGGGGAGGAGCTTTTGGAGGGTCCAAGAGGGTGGAGAAGATGGAAAATAGTTTTTTAGGATTGGAATAGGAAGATTGGATCTTATCTTGAAAGAAAGTGCTTTTTGCCTGAGAGATCAAAGCAGAGAAAGAGGAGAGGAGAGCTTGATAGGTTAGGAGGTCGTCACGGTGTTTGGATTTCCACCATTTCCGCTCTGCTGCCCTAAGGACGGTTCTATTAGCACGCAGTGCATCATTTAGCCAGGGAGCCGGAGGGGACTGACGAGCCTGCCGAGATGTCAGAGGACAGAGCGAGTCCAGAGTGGATGAGAGAGTAGAGAGGAGAGTTTCTGCAGCAGAGTTTGGAGGCAGTAGTTGGAACGAATCAGAGGAAGGGAGGGCTGAGAGCACCGACGAGGCAAAGGTAGAGGGAGAGAGGGAGCGAAGGTTACGGCGGACAAGTGTAGGATGGGAAGAGATTAGTTTGTTATGTTTGGAAAGGGATAGAGAGAATGAAATGAAGAAGTGATCGGATGTGTGGAGCGGGTTTACAGAGAGGTTAGAAGTAGCGCAGTTCCTTGAGAATATGAGATCAAGGACATTGCCAGCTTTATGAGTCGGTGGGGACGGAGAGAGTGAGAAAGCAAAGGCGGTTGCAGATATCCGATTAAAGCTGAGACTCCACAGATTATGTAGGTATATAGTATCATTACTGAGTGATCCGGACTCGCGACAGGGGAAGCAAATACAGTCATCACAACACGTACCTTCACAGAGCTTCTAGGGAGATCGTCTCACCGCCGTAGCTGTCAATCTGATCAAAAGACGTGTTCAATGGCATTAAAATGAGAAAAAACGCGGCTGAATCGGTTAATCCATAGGTTTTTAAAGTCTATGTATAAAAAGATGATTGAATTTATAATCCATAATTCCATTTTTATGTAAAAATCGGAGAGCAAATGCCAGCTGCTAATGGTAGCCACCACAGCTAGCTGCTGCTTCTGCTAGGCTATGCAGCAGTCTCAGTGAGATATAAATATATAAATATCTTTGTGTTTTGGACTAACTTTAAAATATTCCCATGCTTTTGAAGACCTAGGGCGAGATGTTTTCGTTTGGGGGCTTCGTGCGCAATCCTGTGAGGAGGAGGTGGTAGCCGTTTCAGTCTCCATTGTGTTTGAAGTGCGATTGCAAACTGCTTGTTGCTTTGGGTGACCCACGTGTGTGTAGCGACGCGTCGACGCGGAAATATGTCGTGGACGATATTTTGAAGTCGACGCGTCGATACAGCACTACTCAGCAGCTCCTCCTGCTTACCAGACTCTGCTTCTGCTCTCTCTCTCTGTGCTTGCCTCATGTCCTCCTCCAGCCTGGCGGCCCGGTCGCTCTCGCTCTGCGCCTCAGCCTCCAACTCGGCCCGCTCCCTCGCCAACCGCTCCACCTCCCGCTGCAGCTCGGCCAAGTGCTCCCGGTTGTCCGCCGCCTCCTGCTGGTAGTCTGCGATGCTGCCATTGAGCTGGGACAGCTGGTTCGT